CTCCTTCTCCTTCTCCTTCTCCTTCTCCTTCTCCTTCTCCTTTTGCTGCAGCACTGCTCGGGGCAGCTGCAGGAGTGGGGCCAGCTAGACAGCCTGCTTTGCCCATGCCTTTAGCCAAGCACTTACTGGAGAGTGAATAAAAGCAAATAAAAGCAAATAAGGATGCTGATGAAGAGGGGAGATTGGCCTAGGTGGGACCAGAAATGGGTGGGGGGTGGGAAGATCCATGGGGAGACTTCTGTTTCTTAAATTAGCTTCAGCTTGGAAGCCAACAAAGGATATAAATTGCCACACAATCACTCTTGAAAACCCTGGGGTAAGTGCAAGCTGAAAGCGATCTGGGCGCTGAAGGGGGGCACATCAATGCAGAACAAGACAGAGAATGTGAATGGAATGGTCGGTGAGAATGCGGAGGAGTGCAGAACAAAAAAAAGGCGACTGGAGATATGCAGGGTGAAGGTGAGGGCCAAGCCTTCTGGAAAGGTACTTAGACATATATCTTGCTCTTCCTTGTGTAGCAAAGAAGTCGTTACCTGTTGGAACCAAGTGGACCACATATCCGTTGCCTGCATAGATGGCCCAATGTTGGCAAGCAGTCCGGGAAATCTCGATCAAGTCTCCAGGTTGTGGATTCACCTGCAAAAGCAAATAGAAGCCTTGGGACATGTTTTAACTACATGGTCATCCTGGCTATACAGACAGAACTGGGGAAAGTTCCAAGGCGGCCTGTGTCTTCTATATCTGGAAGAGAGAGAGCAAGGGATGCTACCTGTTCTTTTGGAGGCGACACATTGAGGTGACCTAGGATGTCTCTTGCATCTCAGAGAGCACATGATCCAGCACCTTCTGATCTCCATCAGCCAACCAAGACAGAGGTGCCAGGCCTAACTACTTCTTATACCACAGGCGTTAAGTTAATTTGTTTTAAGGGCCAATTTCAACGTAAGTGTACATTTATCAGGTTATTATACTACAGAATATTAAAAAATCCAATAATTTTATTAATACTATTGATTTATTAATACTTGTTGTTTTGTTATTTGAATCAGTAAGTTTACTAGTATGTGGTAAATCCCAGAGATATAAATAACTGCAGTAAACCACTCATTTAACTGCAGTTAAATATTTTACTCTTTGAGGCTAGTAGTGTTCTCTGGACCATATAGTTCCTCCAACAGCCTTAGACCATGCTACTTTAAGAGGGGAGTCCTGGGAAGGGGGAAGGCAAGCAGTCAAGGCACTCATTGCCAAACCTCCAGGTCCCCCAGCCCCAAAGAAGGAAGTTGATCCCTGTGGTAACCAGGCGCTGGGTAGCAGGAGACCAGAGGCAGGGCATCAGTCTGAGAAGGGGAGTTAAGAGTCTGTCTCTCCTGGCAGGAAGACCCCAACAGGACAGTGGTGGCAACATACCCTAGTGGAAGGAAGTGGAATAGCATCTTCCAGGAATTGGCGCAAGCCAAGGAGGGGGCTGGCAGAACGGGGTCTGTAAGTCGGAGCAGGCCCGTTCCATCACACAGCTGAACACCAGACTAGTTTATTTTGAGAGTTCCCTAAGGAAAAGATTTTGGTACATATTAGTGGCGATCCCAGTTACCCACCTCTCGCTGTGTCTCTGATCAGGCTAATTTCCTCCAATTAACTAGATCACCACTTTGGGTAATGAGTGCCCATGAGTGCTGATGGAACAGGGCTACTGGGAGCCAGAGAACTAGAGTATCTGTATAGGGATGGGTACAAACTGGGAAAACCTAGTTCAGGTTCGGGACGTCTCCTGAAACTGAAGCCAGCCCCTCTGCCAAACCAAACCAGTTTGGGATGTGGCAGAATGATAAGCAAGATAAGCAAGTTCTGTACAGCAGCCTGAATTGGCTTAGGCCTCTCTATTTGGTTCTCTCCCATAAGGCTTTGCAGGAGGTTTCTCACCCTGACAATGCACCCTGCACTCTGCTCTAAAAGAACTGCTTATATTTCTGAGTTCCAGCCTGGAAGCCAAAACATTAAGATAGGCCTTGACAGGGAGGATGTTTTTTGCCCCCCAAGTGCCCCCGATGCACGGATTTTGATATCCGCACGGAGCGGGCGTCTTGGCTATTAGTATATAGATTCCTAAATGAATAATAAGTGCACTATTTGTTTATAAGTATTGGTTTGTCTTTTCCTTTCTATAAGATGAGTACTGAAATTCCTACTTGCTTGAAAATTTGTGCAGAATGTTTTTCTTTCAGTAAAACACAGAAATTCTGGAACAGGTTTCTGTCTCTCTCTAACTATGGGGTTCTTTCCAGTTTCAATCCCCCCTCGCTTGTCAAGCTAGGTGTGGATGGGATTCCTAGGAAAAGCTCCTGAAGTCTTTTTTTTTTTTTGCAGTTAAATATTTTTTTCAATATAAAACAAACACAAACAGTCAAACACACCCAAAAACATATAAACACACACAAAAACATATAAATTAGGGGTTATAAGTATCTTTTTATTATATCTGTTACATTACCTGCTACATTTTATAGCTATGAAATAATCAGTATTTATCACCATAAATTTTGCATTATATTTAAAATTTAATCTCTATGTTTTCCCCCCGGATGGTCGTGGCCCCGCCTCCAGTGTGCCTGGCATGGTCGTGTCACTTCTGGGTGACGGGGTTGCGGTGTGTGCACACTTTGCGTGCGCACACACACTCCCAGAGCAGCACTGGAGTCCCCCGCTCCAGCGCAGCTAAGACTTGGGAACCCTATGCTGCAGCTGGCTGCTGCAGTCTTGGCTCAGCTCAGGCAGGTTTTTGCAAGGGAAAAGGCTAGGGACTTTTTTACAAATAAAAACGGGCAATTCAGAGAACCTGCTATGGCAATAATTAGAATAGTATCTCTTCTCTCTATAATATAATTCTGTTTTGGTCATGGACTCTCCTGAGCATTCCACACACTCCCTAATCAGTTGGCTGAATGATCTGTCACTCAGAACGTGTCCCTAGCCACTGGCTGCGTTGCCTGAGTCCCGCCCAGCCGCCACTCAAGAGCAGTGTTCCCTCTAAGCTGAGTTAGTGTGAGCTAGCTCACAGTTTTTTAGCCCCTGGCTCACACATTTTTGTCTTTGCTCAGGAAGGGTGGCTCCAGAGCAAACTAATTTATGCAGCAGCCAAATTGCTTGCTCACAACTTTAATGCCTGTAGCTCACAAAGGAGAATTTTTGCTCACAAGACTCCACAGCTTAGAGGGAGCATTGCTCAGGAGTACTCGCATGCCACTGGCCAGGTGCTGGGTTTGCGCCTCTTTCCCACCCACTCCTTCAGCCACTGTGCCCTGTCAGAATTTCTGGCAGACGGCTTTCTCTCTTGAGTTAAGACAGTTGCCTCCTGTGTGGGACTAATTTTTACCTCAGTAGCTGTTGGTAGGTGTAACGAAATGGCAGTTACCTGTGTCTGTAAGATGGCTGCCGTCTATGTTTAAAATGTTCCCCCAGAAGGCTTAATTGAGCTGTAGTTTCGGAGATGGGCCTGCAGGGGTATCACTCACTGGGTGCGTTCAGACGGGGGATTTACAACGGTTAGGGTGCCGGTTCCAACCGGTGTACTTACGAGCGTTCACACGGCGAACATCTGCCTCCCGTCCCTAACCGTTGTAAATCCTTTTACACCGTTGTACTCTGCCACTAGGTCCAAAGTGGTGGTAAACAGAGTACAACGGTGGTTTCCGATACAAACCGGCGTCTGATCGCTCTCCACCGGTGCCTAGCCACTTCCGTCGGAAGCCTGAGGCTTCCGGCTTTTCCCCGCCATTTTAAAAAAGACTCCTAGCGGTATGCGCTTGGGCGAAGCTTCGCCCTAAGCGTTTGTTTGTTTTTTTTAAAAAAGCCCTTACTGCAGCATTTCGGAGGCGTCGGGGACCTCCGGGAGGCTACTGTGCTCTTACGGGGGGGGGGGGGTTGAGCATGCGCAAAAATCGCCATTCTCTGAATGGCTGCCTATGCGCATGCTCAAACTGCTTTTTTTTAAAAAAAAAAGCCGACGCCCGCAGCGTGTGAGCGGGCGTCCAACGATGGGAATCGCAAAATAGAGGTGAGTGTGATCGCGTTTCTGCCGGCATAAACTGCACCGGTTCCAACCGGTGCAGTTTATGCCGGCAGAAAGCCCCCGTCTGAACGCACCCACTGGGTTGAATGGGGCTTCCTCATCTGCTGGACTACAGTTCCCAGCTACCGCAAGGCCAAAAAGAGCAGGAAAACAGGGACTGTCTCAAGGCGGTCTTCGTCCCTGGGAGGCAGCAGAAATTTAGCCACTCCACAGTTGGCTGGACTGGGGAATGAATGGAAGTTTCCCTGCTCTCTTGGGCAAGAGAGAGAAGCTGAAGCAGAGCCAGAGGCCAGTCCAAGGAGAGATCCTATCCTGAGCCTACAACCTCCAGAGGTACAGAGTATTGTGTGTAGAGAAAGAGGATTGTGTTTAACCCCTATTGATTTATGCCATGTTGGTTCATGGTGTCTGCTTACTCCTACAGTGTGTGTGTGCTCCATTCTTTTATTTGGGCTAATAATCTGTGTTGTGCTCGGACAACATACTCTCCCCTGCTCTGCACAATAACAAAGGGAGGGGGTGGCCCAGGGAAGCAAGGAAAGGCCAGACCCTTGGGTTCCCAACTTTCCAGGGATCCCCCAAAGACTGGGGATTCCATCTCCAAATAGGAAGATTCGGCATGGAGGTCAGGGTTTCAGAGCACCGTAGAGGCTGCAGGTGTGTGGGGGGGAGATGGAAAGCTGAAGAGGGGAAAATAAAGGTAGGTTGATGTTTGGCTGGGAAGGAGATAGGGTTGCCAACTCCAGATGGAAAATTCCTGGAGATTTGACGGATGGAACCTGGAGAGAGTGAGGTTTGAGGAGGGGTGGGACCTCAGACAGGTACAATGCCATAGACTCCACCCTCCCAACCAGCCATTCCCTCCTGGGGAACCATTGTTGCCAATCTCCAAGTGGGGGTTGGAGACAAATCAGAATTACAACTGATCTCCAGGAGGGAGGGAGGGAGGGAGGGAGGAGATAAAAAGCTGAATTCAGGGGCAGATAATGACAGGTCGGTGCTTGGCTGGGAAGCAGATATAGTTGCCAACTCCAGGTTGGGAAATTCCTGGAGATTTGCGGGGTGGAGCCAGGAGAGGGTGAGGTTTTAGACGGGGTAGGACCTCAGACAGATACAATGCCACAAACCCCACCCTCCCAACCAACCATTTCCTCCCGGGGAACCATTGTTGCCAATCTCCAGGTGAGGGGTGGAGATCACTCAGAATTACAACTGATCTCCAGGACGGAAGGTAGAAGTCAGCTGCAGTCAAAGGGGCTGGGAAGGACATGGTGTTGCCAACTCCAGGTTGGGAAATTCCTGAGGATTTGAGGGGTGGAGCCTGGAGAGGGTGGGGTTTGAGGAGGGGTTGGACCTCAGACAGGTACAATGTCATAGACTCCACTCTCCAAACCAGCCATTTCCTCCTGGGTAACAACTGTTGCCAATCTCCAGGTGAGGGCTGGAGGTCATTCAAAATTACAACTGCTCTTCAGATGGCAGAGATCAGTTCCTCTGGAGAAAATGATGGACTCTATGTCATTATACCCTGCTAAGGTCGCCACAGCAATTTGACGCTGAGTGTGAAAGGCACTCTCCCAGAGCCTCTTTCTAGAGCTCATTGTATTTATTTCCACAACGAACCTTATTCCTAGTATCAATATAACAATATTCTAGTGCTGATTTTTTTTTAATTGCAGAAGTTCTAGTTGTCCAGTGGATGAGGTGTCTATTTCTGAGGGACTGGGGTTGGGTGACTGTGAGGAAACCTGCCACGGGAAGACTTCATGGCTGCTGCATTTTATCTGCAGCTGCACCAGCAACAGGGAAGCCACAAAATCACATCCCCATGTGGAAGCCATCCAAGAGGACCCTATGCCCAAGTTCAATATCAGTTGCAGAGACTGTCTGTACATTATGTTTGCAAGGGACTTCCCACTGGGAGAATTTCTTTTTTAAAAATGACAGCTTTGTGTTTGTCATGACATCACTTCCTGGTTTACCCAGAAATCAGGTCACATACCCCTAGGAGTAACAGGAAACTCAATGGCATTTCCAGAGATTCCCAGAGCAGCATGATGTTACTTCCGTGTTTTCCCAGAAGTGATGCCATGGAGCACAGGATGCCACATCCCCATGTCCTTCCCACCCAAGCTCCCACCGGTTGCCAGAAACCAAACTTTGTATGCATACCTGAAGAGGGTCTACATACCTGGTCACTGAAAGGGATGCCATAACGTAGATTAGTGACAAAATGCTCACAGAAGTTATAGGACATCTTTGTCCCCACGGCTGCCTTTGCTTTAAAGATGATCTCACGCACATGTCGAGGTTTGTATTTGGCGTCATACTTGTTATTGATTTGGTACCCATTGTCCGCTACTTTCCAAAGAGGTTCCATCTTCACCTCCGCATGGTCATGCATGACAGAACCAAGACCAGAAGTGCCAGATGAGAGAAGACTAGGGATGTCAGATCCTGAACAGTTGCCTGGAGGGAAGGGAAACATGAGTAAATTGGATCTAATAGGTTGAATTTCAACAGTAAGCCCATCTACACATTTTTGTCTTCTGTTTCCTCCAAGGAGCTTCATGCAGTCATGCAAACTGCATGATTCTACGCTCCCTCATTTAAAACTCAAACAAGCCTCTTAGGTGTTTGGCTGGGAGAGGGGAGGGGGGAGAGAGAGATTAAGCCAAGGTCAACTGGGGGCTTCAAGGCTAATTCAGATTTGAGCCCAGGTTTCCAGCACATGTCCTGCTCTAACCACGGCTTGAACCACTACACCTCACTGGCTTTCTAAATTCTTACTCTTATTAATCAAGCTCAGACATGTATCCCCTGGTTACTCACAAGGTAGCACTTTTTGTGCTTGCAGCCAGAAAAGTTAGATCCAAGGTCGTTTCTAGTTGTCTGACATAGAACTACAAAACTGGTAGCATAGCTTCTATGATTTTAAAACTTTGATTGTTTTAGTGTTTATACAGTCTTTATTAATCAAACAATCAGAATCACCTTTCCTCTCCAAAGGAGGTCTCGCAATTATTCTTAGATGTGTGCATAAAGTGCAGTCGAGTTACAGCCGACTCACAGCAACCCCACAGGGTTTTCAAGGTGGTTCGCCAACGCCTGCATCTGGGTAGGGATCCTGGGTAGTGGATCTGTGGTCTCTCTTTCAAGTACTAAACAAAGCTGACACTGCTCGGCTTCAGAGATTTTATTTATTTAATTTATTTATTTACATTTACATTCTGCCATCCCCGTAAGCAGGCTCAGTGCAGATCACAAATGCAATATCTGGACCATATCAAAAATCTCAGTACATATCTCTCCTTATAAATAATTGAGTAGTGGTCCCACAACGTTCTATGCACTACAAAATCAGTTGGCTCCGTGATGTGTCAATCACAAGGTTTCTCTATCCACTGGCTTTGTTGCCTGAGTTCTCTCCCACCCACTGCAGCCTAGGCCATTCTTCTCTGATTGGGCCAGCAATTCAAGGTCATTTGCATATGGAACCTAATTGGACTTCACTCCATTCCGCACCTCAAACTCCCCCCCCCCGCAAGACAGTTGGAACTGTCAGTTGCATATGGGACCTGGTGTATTCTGAGGTAAAATATGTCCTCACTCACAACACATCACTTCCCCTTCAAAAGAAACAGACCCAAAAACACAATCATGCCACACCACAAAAAAGACAGATCACACCACAAGCAGAATACCACAAGGCAAAAAATGATAGGAAAAGGTGCCAGCAGTCACCCCATTACGGCCACAGATATGTGGCAGTCAGGGCTTCAAGGCACGGTGGCGGCTGCTGGTGGGCGGGAGATGGAAAGCTGATCAATGAGGGAGAAATGGAGGTTGATGCTTGGCTGGGAAATAGATAGGGTTGCCAACTCCAGATAGGAAAATCCTGGAGATTTGAGAGATGGAGCCTTGAGAGGGTGAGGTTTGAGGAGGAGTGGGGCCTCAGACAGATACAATGCCATAAACTCTGCCCTCCAAACCAGCCGTTCCGTAATGGGGAACCACTGTTGCCAATCTCCAGGTGGGGGCTGGAGATCACTCAGAATTACAACTGCTCTCCAGATGGCATTGATCCGTTCCCTTGGAGAAAATGGTGGACTCTGTGTCCTTATACCCTGCTGAGGTTGCCATGGCAACTTGATTCTGAGTGTCCATGGCCTTGGCACTCTCCCAGAGCCTCTTTCTAGTGCTCATTGTATTTATTTCCACAATGGGCCTTATTCCTAGTTAAATATAAAATAGAACACAATTAAGGCAGTTTAAAAACTGCATAAATTAGATTGCATGTTTCAACAAGTGATTTCTTTATTCAGTTCATAATGCAGAGAACACAGACAGACAACACACAGAATGACCCAACTTTATAGTTTGAATCAGGAAAACCACACCCTCTAGAGCAATAAGGTCCAATTAAAGATGAGTGCTTGGAGCCGATGGGAATTGTTCCCACCAAAAATCAAGTACTGTCCTGATTGGTCTGTCTCCTGACACCGACCAATCCTGTTGCAGATTTCAGGATACCAAGAGTCAAGGGAGCTTGTGGCTGAAGCTCAGGCATTCTGCACTTACAAGTGACACAATACACAACACCCCTCCCCCCTCCAGCCATAGACTTTTTATTGCGAACCCTGAACTTGCCGATTCCTGCAACAGGGATGCACTGTCTCTGGAAATCAACTAGGTGGAAATTGCAAGGCTTGAGCCGTCATTTGTTCCATCTGGGAAAGAGCCAGTGTAGAGTCTGCCTGGATATGATGGTGAGCGCCGATCCCAAATCGACCTCCATCTCACAGGGAGTGTTGTTGAGGACCATGGTCACTTTGATTTTGTTTCTTGTTTGGAGCTGAGAGCCGTACACTGACAAGTGGTAGATGCAGTTGTTCGCCACATGGTAGTTGTCAGATGTAGTAGTGTCCTTTGACGACGATCGAAATCTACTACATGACGTTCTCAGTGACATCTTGAGTGACGTCTTGGCTTTAGACGAGCAGCAGACCCGGGCAAGGTGCCCAACCTTCCCGCAATCCCGACACTGGGTCTCGCGGAACCAATACAGCACTTGTGGTTGCCACCACAACTGGTGCATTGTGATCGTTGACTGAAGTGCTTGTGCCTCTCAGTCTGTGTTCGGTAGACTGAGTAATCCTCACTGTCAGATTCTTTAAGGATCCCCGATGCACTGGCTGCAACTTGTGGGGCGTTGGTGGAGTTCTGGACTTGTGCACTTCTCTGGTCAACTGGTCAGCAGTTTCTGCAGATATTGCCTCTTCATATGCGGTTTGGAATGTAAGTTCTTTTGTGGCAAAAAGCTGTTGTTGTAACTTTTCATCCTGCAGGCTGCACAGTAGCCTGTAACGGAGTCTATCGTTTAAGTCTGTGAAGTTGCACTGCCGCACTGTTTTTCGAAGTGCCGTCATATACTCAGCAATTGACTCGCCTTGAGCCTTGTCACATTTGTGGAATGTGTGCCGACATGCGATCTCTGAAGGCTTAGGTGAACAATGGTCACTTAGTTTGGCCTTGATTGCAATAAGTTCAGTAGGTGCAACTAATGTCTTAGCCACATCAAAAATGTTCTTGCCACAGACGCTGAGAAAAGTGACTTTCTTGATATTTGCATCTGTAATTTATTGAGCTCTATTGTAGAACTCAAACCTGGCGACGTAGGTGTCCCAGTCCTCTGTAGCTGAATCGAATGGTTCGAAGTGGCCCTTGGTGGCCATCGTAGTGTTGCGCTGGAGCGGCAGGTGGTTGTGTTCTCTGGCTTCTCCCGAGGACCAAGGTGACAATTCCTTGCCTGCTGCAGTGATTGGCTCAGGTTCTGTGGGGCTGCCTACCCACTTAATCCCATCCTCGTCGCCAGTATTATGTACTGAGATCGAGGCAGCGTTTCAACAAGTGATTTCTTTATTCAGCTCATAACGCAAAGAACACAGAAAGATAACACACAGAATGACCCAACTCTATACAGTTTGAATCAGGAAAGTCACACCCCCTAGAGCAATAACGTCCAATCAAAGATGAGTGCTTGGAACCAATGGGAATTGTTCCCACCAAAAGTCAAGTACTGTCTTGATTGGTCTGTCTCCCGACACCGACCAATCCTGTTGCAGATTTCAGGATACCAAGAGTCAAGGGAGCTTGTAGCTGAAGCTCAGGCATTCTGCACTTACAAGTGACACAATACACAACAAACGACTACACCTCACTGGCTCTTTAAATTCTCACTCTTATTAACCAAACAAAAATAAGCACCTTTCCTCCCCAAAGAAGGTCCCGCAATTATTCTTAGATGTGTGCATAAAGTGCAGTCGAGTTACAGCCAACTCACAGCAACCCCACAGGGTTTTCAAGGTGGTTCGCCAACGCCTGCCTCTGGGTAGTGATCTTGGGTAGTGACTCTGTGGTCTCTCTTTCAAGTCCTAACCAAAGCCAACACTGCTCAGCTTCAGATATTTTATTTTATTTATTTATTTATTTAAATTTACATTCTGCCGTCCCTGTAAGCGGGCTCAGTGCAGATCACAAATGCAATATCTGGAACATATCAAAAATCTCAGTACATATTAAATATAAAATATAACACAATTAAGGCAGTTTAAAAACAGCATAAATTAGATTGCACCATTTATCCTTGTACAGAGATTTCCAGCTGGCACCATTGGTCTGATAAGACTGGGCCAGCCTTGGGCATGTACCAAGCCAAATTAACATAAAACCACTTCAAAACTTAAATTAAAAATTCTCAACACACACACTAAATAATATACACCAGCAAACATCCTAAAAAAGAAATGAGGAGGAGGAGGAAGGAGAAGAAGAATGGTTTTATATCTCACCCTTCACTACCCGAAGGAGTAGTGGAGAAGCTTGCAATCACCTTCCCTTCCTCTCCCCACAACAAACACCCTGTGAGGTAGGTGGGGCTGAGAGAGCTCTGAGAGAACTGTGACTGACCCAAGGTAACTCAGCTGGCTGTATGTGGAGGAGAGGGGAATCAAACCTAGTTCTCCATATTAGTCCCCCGCTCTTAGCCACTACACCAAACTCGATATAGAGCACTATGCAGGAGAATTTCAAGGCCTATCTCTGCAAACACCTAATGAGGAAGTAATTCTGTGTCTGAGCCATTTGACATGGCAGGGTAGGGTTGTGCATATGAACATAGAGGGCTATGCTAGAACCTATCCTGACTTGCTGGTGTTTTATGTGTGGCAGCACATGATGACAAGACAAACTTAAGAGCAACAAAAGTGTTTCTTAGACCAAATGCTCAGGAAAATTGGCTCTGTCATGTACAAGAATTCTCCCAGAACCATCTCCCAGGAAAACTACATGCCTCAAAGAGGCTGGGGATTCAGAGCAACTATTAGATTGTGGCAATACATCATAATGTTATTCTACTGTAGCAATTACTGATTTTTTAGAAAGTCTGTGATACCATCAGACCGATGGTG